ATGCCATCCAACCATCTCATCCTCTGTTGTCCCCTTCTCTTCCCGCCTTCAATCTTTCCCAGCATCAGGGTCTTTTCCAAAGAATCAGTTCTTCGCATGAGGTGGCCAAAGTATTGGAGTTTCAGCTTCAGTATCAGTCCTTTCAATGAACACCCAGGACTGATCTCCTTTAGGATGGACTGGTTGGATATCCTTGCAGCCCAAGGGACTCTCAAGAGTCTTCTCCAACACCACAGTTCAAAAGCATTAATTTTTCGGTGTTCAGCTTTCTTCACAGTCCAACTCTCACATCCACACATGACCACAGGAAAAACCATAGCCTTGACCAGACAGACCTTTGTTGGCAAAGTAATGTCTCTGCTTTTTAATATACTATCCAGGTTGGTCATAACTTTCCTTCCAAGGAGTAAGCATCTTTTAATTTCATGGCTGCAGTCACCATGAAATGGATTATTACTCAACCATTAAAAGGAATGCATTTGAGTCAGTTCTGATGAGGTGGATGAAGCTAGAACCTATTATACAGAGTGAAGTGAATCAGAGAAAGATAAATATAGTATTCTAATGACTACATACAGAATATTGAAAAATGGTACTGAAGAATTTATTTACAGGGCACCAATGGAGAAATAGACATAGAGAATAGACTGATGGACATGGGGAGAGGGGAGGAGAGGGTGAGATGTATGGAAACAGTAACATGGAAAGTTACATTTCCATATATAAAATAGATAGCCAATGGGAATTTGCTGTATGGTTCAGGAAACTCAAACAAAGGCTCTGCATCAACCTAGATGGATGGAATGGAGAGGGAGATATGAGGGAGGTTCAAAAGGGAGGGGATATATGAATACCTGTGGCTGGTTCATGTTGGGGTTTGGCAGAAAACAAAATTCTGTAAAGCAATTATCCATCAATTAAAAATAAATAAATTTCAAAAGAAGACAGCATCAGTTACTACTGTAGGTTGTTTCCTCAGTAGAGATATTTCCTTGTTTCATAAACAATTTGGTGATTATTGTTCAAATTGAAACTGAGAGATCTTATATGAAATACTCCAGGCTTTTCAACAGGGGTCTTCTCTGTTTAATTGGGGATGCATTGACTTAAAGAGTTTTAGTGATCTGAAGACCAAATAACTTTTAGTTATCTGAGGACCAGAATCAGCTAACAGAAGACTTACTGCAGAGAACACAAGATGCTGACACCCTCACACTGTTTTCTTCTCTCTAATCACAGGCATGCGGAGCAGTCCATGAACATGGTGAGTATTCAGGGACCATTCCTCTGCTGAGAAAGAATCTAGTTGTTGAAGGTTGGGCTCTCTTGCCAGTTCTGGTTGGAGAGGCACCATTGGAGAGTAATATTCCATTGTGTATGGATGCTGATGCTGGATTCCTAGAGGGGTGAGAGCTGGCTGTGCAGAGAAGAGACTGATCTCCCAGGAAAAAACAATGTCTGTATTGTGTTCTATGGTCCCTGGAAACAAGTACAGCATTCAGATGCTGTGGGTTTGTGTGAATCAGGGTTGGGGCCCCATGTGTGAGCCCTCGTGGTGTGATTTTGAAGGTCTGTGTGTGTGTTTCCTCAGGACATGTTTCCCTCTTACACAGCACAAGTCAACAGTGAACTTTCTAAACACTTCTCATCACCACTGCACACTGGCTATATATTACTTGATTCTTTCCTCGGCTCAGCCATTCCTCAAGTTTGGTTAATATTTATTTTCCTCAAATGAAGATGGTACTGAGAAAAATGGCCCAAGCTCTTGACCTCCTAAGTGGAAAAGCCCAACTGATAACCTAGGGGTGGTCCCAGTGTGACTGCTCTGGACCCCTGACCTGCACTGATCATTCAGCCTTTAAATCCTAGTCATGGAGAAAGGGGGTCCCTGCATCTATGTTTATGCCTGGAGGTACTAGCGGCTCCAGAAGTCCAGGCCATGCCCATCCATCATTATAAAGTGGGCTCAGTGGTTATGGAACACAGGGCAAGCAAAGATGGATTAACAGCCAAATGTGACACAGTTATTAGTGTGAAAAGCACCTCGGGGTCACATTCTTCTGGTAAGCTCTCAGATTCTGAGAGTTGGGTGGCCTTATGTAGAAACTGTAAGTCATATGTATTGATGCTAGTGTCATTGCTTAAGCAAGGGCAAAAGCAGATTATCATCAGGGAGATATTTCACTGTACTGGGTGACATTAAAATAAGTTTTACATTGATTAAACCCTGTAGCACACATTCAATCAGTTCAGTACAGTCACTCAGTCATGTCTGACTCTTTGTGACCTCATGGACTGTAGCAAATCAGGCTTCCCTGTCCTTCACCATCTCCCAGAGTTAACTCAAACTCATGTCCATCAAGTCGGTGATGCCATCCAACCATCTCATCCTCTGTCGTCCCCTTCTCCTCCTGCCTTCAATCTTGCCCAGTGTCGGGGTCTTTCCCAATGAGTCAGCTCTTCACATCAGGTGGCTAAAGTATTGGAGTTTCAGCTTCAACATCAATCCTTTCAACAAATATTCAGGGCTGTTTTCCTTTAGGATTGACTGGTTTGATCTCCTTGCAGTCCAAGGGACTCTCAAGAGTCTTCTGTAACAACACAGTTCAAAAACATCGATTCTTTGGCACTCAGCTTTCTTTATATTTCAACTCTTATATCTATACATGAATACTGGAAAAACCATAGCTTTGACTAGATGGATCTTTGTTGGCATACTCAATGAAAGGTGTCAGATCTCATAGTAGCACTTGGTCCTTAGTCTAAAGAGCATTACTCTTGTTATCATCTCCTGAACAGCTGGGTCAGACACAGTCAGCTTTCACCCTATGCTTCCTCTGCGTAATGAACTGTCCCTCTAAATGTATGACTTCTGTGAGTGTGGACAGCTACTGATCAGTGGACATGCAAACATTGTTTGGAAAATGAAGACTGGGAAATAATATTACATGATTGATAATAGCTATTTGGAAAGGTAGGGTTGAATTCAGTCCTCTAACAGAGTTTGCTTTTAATCACGAGCAAATTCTCATAGAACACTTGGTAAGTACAATAGCTACAAATGTGGATCCTGGGGAGGCAGTTCTCTGGGAAGATATCCAGAAGACAGGGCCAATTTAGCAGATGCTCTAAATAGGCAGGAGGGTCATGATCTCTGTCACTGAATGCTGGCATGCATTTTGATATTTCTTTTCCCCCCCATCGCTTATGTTATCACTACTTAAAGTGCAGAAGTTCTCTTTCATTTCTTTCCTGCTCCTCTCCTTTGCAAAGAGGGTGATTCAACAGCAGCTTAGTCCACAGTTACTAACCTCCCTCATGCATACACTTCACTCCATGTCCCCATCAAAAAAATAGAAAGAAAGAAAGAAAGAAAGAAAGAAATGCTGAGTGATTGGTGAGCAGCCTCACCAGTGTCCTGACAGCTACTGGGTGTCCCTCTGCTTCTCAAGGAAGACCTGGTGGAGGAAGTGTGTTGTCTATAATCAATTGTCCCCCTAAACGTATGACCTCAGTGAGTGTGAATAGCAACTGACTCCATGGACATGCACGCACTGTATAGAAAACAAATATTGATAGAATAATATAGTATTAATCATAGTGGCTGTTTTTAGATGGTAGGAATTTAACTTTATCAAATCTTGTATATTTGATTTTCTTTAAGAAAAGTGATTAGTGAATTAATAGAATAGCATACATTGCCCAGGCTTAAATCAGTCCGCTAAGAGTTCACTTTTAATCAAGTGCAAAGTCCCATAGAAAACATGATGTAGTAGCAGCAACTGTGGATCCTGGAGGAAGAGTGATCTGGGAAAAATCAAGAGACAGTGGCAATTTAGCAGAAGCTCAAAATAAGCAGGAGTCTTGGGTCTCTTTAGGTGAACAGTACACATATTTTAGAGTTTTTCTTTTTTTTTTTGAGAATATTTAGTGTTGATTAGGTTCCTTTTATCTAGAAAGCCAAAGCTCTGTTTTCATTTCTTTCCTCCTCTATTTTCCTTCCTCCTCCAAAGAGGATGGATGAACACAAGTTCACCCATGCTTATTAACCTCCCACATCTATACACACCAGCCCGTGTTCACACAAAGAGAAAACCCCCTGAGTAATTCCTAAGCAGACTCACCAGTGTTCTAACAGCTACTCTGTGTCCCTCTAGACTTCACTGAGGACCTGCCAGTCAACCCAGCTTGTGATCGGACAGAAGGGACTGGGTGTTTCTCCAAGGCAAGCTGTAGTGTTTTGTTTTATTTTCCTTCTGATCTGAGATGGAAATATTGTTTCATTTCTCTCTCAGTAGAATTAAGTTATGACTCTTTGGGGGTGTTTGTTTCAGATAGAGACAATTCCCTTGGTTGAGATATTGTGGAGTGAGTCTTATTACCAGCTCACAATGCCTCAGTCCACAGGATATTAAAATTGTTACCATCCATTACACCCTGTGGGGTACAGCATTCTCTCTCCTGCAGCAACTTTTCTTTAGGAATAAGATTCTGCAATTTGCAACCCAAAAGGTCTTCAAAGTTCCATCCTCCAGGCAAAGGTCTTGCCTTTTGTCCTGAGTATGTGTGCTCTGATATTACTGGGTTCTCTGGACTGCACCTCTGCCCTTCATTATGTTTTCTACTGTCACCGAATGAACCAAAGACTGTACATCTATGTGATCTCATCCTTAGAGTGTCTTCTCTTCTGTACTTGCAGGTGGCCATTCCAGAATGTGAAAGTGGTATGTATTCTAGACTCATTACTCTGGGAGAAAAAACTGTAGATGAGAAAGCTGGGGCTTTCTCGCTCATTTTAGTGTAGAGGGCAAACTGTTTCCAAATTCGTGCTGGGAATGAGTATAGGGGCTCTACTGATAAGAAAGTAATTTACAAGTAGAGCAATGTGGCTGATTACTGTAGTTCCAGGAAGAAGGTACATTATGGTTAATAGTGTAGGCTTGTGTCCATGGGACTGGGTTTATCTCTCTAGATATAATGAATAGTGTGATTCTTTGTGTGTGTGTGATTTTTTTCTGCTGTGTTTTCCTCGATATTTGTCACCCTAACCATCACTGTTTGTGGTGTCAACTTCCCCAACAAATTTTCCAACACCATGCACCATGAGTATGCATATTAAGATTAAACAAAGTATACACATTCACTGTGTGCTTTAAATTTATACCAAGTGAAATCCTTTAACCTGGAAGGGAAAACCCAACTTTACCCAGGGAAATGTTTACAGGATTCCTTTTAAATTTTATTAAATTTTTTGTTGTCTCTGCTGAATCTTCACTGCTGTGCAGGCTCTTCTCTCCTCGTTAAGAGCTGGGGAAACTCTCCAGTTTTGGAGTGTAGGCCTCTCACTTCTGTGGCTCCTTTTGTTGCAGAGCTTGGCTTCTAGGGCTCTCCAGCTTCAGTAGTTTTGGCACGTATGCTCAGTAGTTTTGGCTCCTGATTACAGACCTTGGGCTCAGTAATTGAGGTGCAGGGAATTATTTGTTCCATGGCATGTGGAATTTTTCCAGAGCAGGGATTGAGTTTGTATCTCTGTCATAAGTTTGTCACTGTTTCCACTGTTTCTCCATTTATTTGCCATGAGGACGATGGGACCAGATGCCATGATTTTCATTTTCTGAATGTTGAGTTTTAAGCCAACTTTTTCACTCTCCTCTTTCCCCTTCATCAAGAGGCTCTTTAGTTCTTCCTCACTTTCTGCCATAAGAGTGGTGTCATCTGCATATCTGAAGTTATTGATATTTCTCCCAGCAATCTTGATTCCAGCTTGTGGTTCATCCAGCCTAGCATTTCTCATGATGTACTCTGCATATAAATTAGATAAGCAGGGTGACAATGTACAGTCTTGATATACTCCTTTTCCAAATGGAACCAGTCTGTTGTTCCATGTCCAGTTCTAACTGTTGTTTCTTGACCTGCATATATATTTCTCAGAAGGCAGGTCAGGTGGTCTGCTATTTCCATCTCTTTAAGACTTTTCCATGGTTTGTTGTGATCCACACAGTCACAGGCTTTGGCTTAGTCAATAAAGCAAAAGTAGATGTTTTTTTCTGGAACACTCTTGCTTTTGCGATGATCCATTGGCAATTTGCTCTCTGATTCCTCTGTCTTTTCTAAGTCGAGGCTGTACATCTGCAACTTCCCAGTTCATGTACTGTTAAAACCTGGATTGGAGGATTCTGAGCATCACTTTGCTAGCGTGTGAGATAAATGCAATTGTGTGGTAATTTGAAGATTCTTTGGTATTGCCTTTCTTTGGGATTGGAATGAAAACAGACCTTTTCCAGTCTTTCTACTCCCTGCTTCTCTGAGTTTTCCTTAAGATACCTCAGGTATTTGTCCTCCTGTGACTAGCTTATTTCACTCTTACCAATATCCTCCAGCTTCATTCACATTGCTGCAAATGATAAGATATCCTTCATTTTCAAACATTGAAGCACATTCCAGTGTATGTTTGTGCAACATTTTCTTTTTTTCATTTATCTGCCCATGGACTCTGGGTAGTTTTTCTATCTTGGTTGTTGCATACAATGTAGCAATGGATATGAGACTGTAGATATCTCCTAGATATTAGCATTTTATTTCCTTTCAATATAAACTCAAAAGAGTGATTCCTGAATCTTAGGTTCTCAATAATTTTTGAAGGACTTACAAACTGTTCTATAATGGCTATGCCATTTTCCATTCCTACCAACAGGGCACAAAAGTTCCACTTCTCTACTTCCTTGCCAACATCTGTTATTTTCTTGATATCTCCTTTTGTCTTGGCTTCCATTTCACTGATACTTAGTGATGCTGGGGCTTCCCTGGTGGTGGAGAGAGTAAAGCATCTGCCTGCGATGAGGGAGACCTGGGCTCGATTCCCAGGTCGGGAAGATCCCCTGAAGAAGGAAATGACAACTCACCCCAGTACTTTTGTCTGGAAAATTCCATGGATGGCGGGGCACATTTCCTATGCATATCGGTCACTTCTATGTCTTCTATGAAGTAATGTCTATTGAAGCTTTTTACACATTTTTTTAAAGCCAGTTATTTGCCTGCTGTTGTTTTGAAGTTGAGTTGTAGTAGTTGCTTATTTACTGTGGATATTGGCCCCTTTAAAGTTTGCAGATATTTCCTCTCATTCTATAGGTTGCCTTTCTGTTGATTGCTGAGGAGAGTATCCTTCCTTCAGTTGGTGATTTTAGAATCTTGGCAAAGATCATTTGGCCACACAGGTGTCATTTTATTCAAGATTCCCTCCTTATGATTCATTAGTCTCTCTGCCTATTTTGTTGCTGGTAGAACACCATTTTGACTGTTGTGGCATTTTTATCTGTTTTGAATTCAGGAAGGAAGCCTGAAGGGCCCATTGTTGTCCTTTTCTCTTAAGGCCGTTTTCTCTGGGTTTCTTTTGGGTTACATAAATCTTAGTATTTGGAGATTTTTTTTTTTCCATTTCAATAAAAATGGCATGGGATTTTGTGAGTGGTTTAAATATATATGTACCTCACTTTTAGAAGTATAGGAAGGTCAACAACACTAAATATTCCAGTCTATGAATATGTTATGGTATTTCAATTATTTGTCTCTTCTTTTTTTTCAAAAGTGTTCTATGGTTTTCAGTGCACAAATCTTTCACTTCCTAAGAGGCCTTTTCTGTTGCCTTGCTTGGGACCTCTAGAGTCAGAGATGGGACAGATGGGCTCATGAAGACAGTGACTGTCCCTTTCCTCCCCTCTGTACTTACTCTCTGGTTACTTGTAGTATAGGTGTGCAGGGCCATGCCCTTCACCTCTGCCTACAAGTGAGCCCCCTATTGGGAATTTGCTTTGAATTTGAGTGTTCAAATTCTTGCTATTGGAATGCCCACAAGCACACTCCCAATGCCTGGTCTGGGTTCAAGATCCCCAGGTATACCTACATATAAATTATCTTATCAGGCCATAAAATCATCTGGAATAAAGAAAAATCAGAACAGGCAATTAGTTGCCTTTTCCTTGTCTTTGGAGCTCTTACAACTGAACTTCCATGGTAGTAGCCACGAGTTAGACCTGCCTATCTATAATTAACATATTTCAAACAGTAATTAGCTTGTTATATTAAAAATATCACCAAGACCAAGAATTGTTTGATCACCCTAGCCATATTTAAAGTGTGTCTATAAGTGCTGGAATTTAGCTTCACAAGCTTGAAGGTTGTTAGAGCTATATTGGGCCTGTAGAAGTGTAAGGTTGAACACTGATTTTCTCCACATCTGTCTTTCCTGTAAATTTTGAAACTGTGATCACCATCTTGTTGAAGGGCTCTGACTCCACAAAGCACAAGGGAGGTCTGTGAACCTGGAGGGAAGACAGGGGCGATGCTGTGTGAGCCGAGTGGAGGAGAGATGAGTGGGTTAACTTGTGTAATAACTGTATTATTGCTGATGGTTGTCTTTCTACAGACTGCTTCCTGGAGAGCATTAACAGCAGTGATGAGGAAGAGAACTTGGGTAGGGAACAACTCTCAGGTGGGATTTAGAGGGAGAGGGTTCCCGGACCACACAGGTTACACCTGCATCTTTGGAGATGAAGGAAGCTGAATATAAACTGAGGAAGGAGAAGGACATATTTGTAGAATTGTGATTTGTCCTTTTCATATTTTAATTATATAATAGAGCTTTATAAATAGAGTATCCATGTGCTTTATTATTTACTTATAGTCATCTCTTCTTGCTTTTTCATTTAGAAATGTCCTTTCTCATAGACTACTCTTTCCTTGTCCTTTCATGCCAAATATGAAAGGTTGGCTTCTGATTAGTACCTGCTAGGTACTATGTACGGGGGACTTTGGCTTCATGTTTAAATTCTCCTATGATGGCCACATCCTTGTGGGCACAAGAGTCTCACAGTCACTTGACACTGGAGACCAAGTTCTGGCAGTGAGTGTCAGGTGGTGGGTGAGACGTGAACGCTCTCCCTCTGCATTTTCAGGACTTGTGGTTTCCCCTCATGTTTGTCCTCACTGTTTGTTCCTTGTATGAAGGGTGCTCTCAGGGTTGAATGAGTCAGAGCACACGTGCTCTGGCATCCCTGCCTGGGCTGAGTCTCCTGAAGCTCGTCTCAGCACCACCCCTTCCCAAGGATGCTGTGCTGAAGGTGCTTCCACGTGAGAGCAGTCCATGTCCAGCTGCCCCTAGAGGCCAGGATGGCCACAGATTCTTGAGACTGTGAAGGGGCCGCTGGCTTTCTTTACACATTTGCTCTCACAGCCCTGCTGACCTGGTCTCCTGGGACTTACCAGACCCAGGTCAGAGACTCAGAGCAGCAGGACCTGGGGTGACTGCTCCCCTTAGAACCCACTAGTCCCTCCAGACCGAAGCTCCAGGTGGCTTCGATCACCATCTTTGCACACTCCTCAACTCATTTATTTACCTTTTATTTTTTAATTTGTTTTGCATTTGAGCCATGGAATTTTCTGATATATTTTGAGTATGAGCTCCTAATGTGATATATGTTTTGCAATTTTTCTGTAGGTTAACTTTCCGTCCTGCTGATTGTTGAAGAGACTGCCCTTTCCCTATTTTGTTGTCTTAGAACCTTCGTGAATTTAAGTTCACCTTGTATCCATGAGTTTACTTTTTTTTTTTAAATTCTGGTATTTAGGGCTATGTATCTGTTTCTATGTCAGTATCATACAGCTTTGATTCCAATAACTTTGTAATGTGTTTTGAAATCAAGAGGTGAGAAACTTTCATCTTTGTTCTCAAGGCCATTTTCTCTATTTGGAGTTCTTAGTAGTTCCATACATAATTTTGGAATTGCTTTTTCTATTTCTATGAGAGTGACATTAATATTTTGATTGGTGTTGCAATGAATCTTCACTTAGGTTTAGGTAGTGTAGAAATGTCAAGAGTACTAAGTCTCCAGTCTATGAGCATGGAATGTCATGTCAATTCCTTGTGCCTTGTTTCACCTTTTCACTGTGGTGTGTAGTGTTCAGTGAGCTGGTCATGTCTCTCTGAAGGCCCTGTGTCCCTCCCTCCCTGATCTCAGAGTCAGTGGTGGAGGGATGGGCTCATGAGGAGATGCAGTGTCTCTCCCTCCCTCCTCACGTCTTCTCTGATGATGTTCAGCACAGGCGCCCTGGGCCCTGTGTCCATACCTGTCCCCTCAAGAGGAACACCTGCTGGGAATTCCTCTAAGATCTGGGTGTTGACATTGATGTTTCAGTGTCCCAAAGGCTCATGAATACCTGGGATGTGTTATATTGCTTATTTATTCTATAAAATATGTTATAGATATATTTATATACATATATTTATATACATAATTATGTGCTTATGTAATATACAATATATGTAATGATTATATTATTACATATATTAATCATATATATTATATAATGTATATTTAAATATTATATTTATAAATATATTCATTTATTTATTTTCTTAGTTGGAGGCTAATTACTATACAATATTGTAGTGGTTTTTGTCATACATTGACACGAATCAGCCATGGAGTTACATGTGTTCCCCATCCGATCCCTGCTACCACCTCCCTCCCCATCCCATCCTTCTGGGTCTTCCCAGTGCACCAGCCCTGAGCACTTGTCTCATGCATCCAGCCTGGGCTGGTGATCTGTTTCACCCTTGATAGTATACATGTTTCAATGCTATTCTCTCAGAACATCCTACCCTCGGCTTCTCCCACAGAATCCAAAGTCTGTTCTGTATACCTGTGTCTCTTTTTCTGTTTTGCATATAGGGTTATCGTTACCATCTTTCTATATTCCATACATATGAGTTAGTATACTGTAATGGTCTTTATCTTTCTGGCTTACTTCACTCTGTATAATGGGCTCCAGTTTCATCCATCTCATTAAAACTGAT